AAGACTAGGAGTGGTTCCCTTCCCCTTGAATTCATCTGAAAAGATGCCCCTTTGGGCTGCAGGGGACTCTACATGCGACAGAAGCTGTTTCTAAAATACTTAAAGAAATGAAAGCTGGGTATTTGGAACAAATGGCGCACACTCTGCACAGTGTGTAGCAGGCGTGTACTAGGCATACAGGAACCATCAGAAACAAGCTTTAGGCTCTTTTATTGATGATGTTGTTCCGTGCCATTGAGTCTTTCTGACTCACAGCAGCCCTGTATGGGATTTTCAGGGTGGGTTTGCACTGCGAACCTCATGGTTGCTGTGAAGTGCAGTCGAATTAATTCTGGTTCACAGTACATCTGTATGGGGTTTCTGAGGAGCAGCTGGGGAGTTCGAGCCACCGACCTTGTGGTTCAAACCAATCTGGCGGTGCAGTGTCCCAGCAGGACTCCTATGGTTAGTAGTCCAATGCTTACTCTACAGCGCCATAAGAGGACTCCAGTATTTACAACTGTGGTAACTGAAGAATTACTAAATTTTTATAGCTTAAATACTAATACTGTGTTCTCAGAATAAATATTATATACATATGGATCAGAAATTTTAAAAGTGAAAATAAAGCACTCAAATATAAGTCTTTGCAAAATATACTTTGAAAATTAGCATCATGAACTGTCGCATACAACAGCCAAGAAAAAAAAAAAAAATCTTTTCCACCTTGCAAAATAATTTGCCAGTGTATGAAGCTCAAAGTGTTCATATTTGATAGGATTCTCTCTCTAGACATTTTAGATATAAGAGATTTTCTGTGGTACTGTAAGATAAGCACTGGACTGCTAACCACAAAGTGGGCTGGTCAAACCCATCAGCTGCTTTTGGAACCCAATACAAGGATGCTATCTATGAGTTGGAACTGACTAAAAAATTTCAGAGATTTCTTATTTTAGTTTTAAGGAGGGTTTTTATTTTCCAGGTTGTATTATAAACTCCTACCCTTTAAAAATTAAGAGTTCTGGTGTGATGTTGCAGGTTAATATGCTGGACTGCAAGGTCGTTTTGAACTGCAAGGTCAGTGGTTCAAGCTCACCAGCTGCTCCTCTGAATGCCTATACAGGGTCGCTTTGAATCAAACTGCCTCAACGGCACTTAACAACAACACAACGACCCTTTACATTGAGCCTGGTGTGGCGCTGTAGGGTAGGTACTAGATTGCTAACAGCAAGACTGGCACTCCAAACCCACCAGCCAGCCACTCTTGATAAACCTACGTAGGCTTCCTGTCACTGGTACATAACAACAACCCTCTACATGGTCCCCCTAAAGCACATAATAAATGGTTTACAAATATAAGTTGTTTTTATTGCAATGACTTACTATTTCCAGCATAAGGTAAAGAAAGAAAGAAAAAAAGAAGGCATTATTAAATGCATTATTTAAAATCAGCATAATGGGTAGAAATGTATTTTTACTCCTAATAAATAAAAATCATTCATCTATTTATATCATCTGTTTACAAAGTGGAATGGCCAGTAAATATACAATTACACTTCCTTCTGATAAGTAAGAATCTAGGCAGCATTAAAGAATCCTAAAAACAGCCCATGCACCATGACCACATTTTAGAACTAGTCATCCTATGCACATAGTTTTCGAATAAAAGAAATAGAAGACCACATATAGTCTTGATATTTCTACTTCATAACTGATAGAAAAATTGTGTTTTTCTCTTATTGTTCATGTGTAAGTACATCTACTGTGCTTCTAGCTGCCCCTATGTCAGAACGTCTATACTTGGGGGAAATACAGTAACAACCAGAGTGAACTGTCAGCCACGATTAGTATGATCAACAGAAAAGATCAATCTCTGAAGTCACCTGGCTCTCCAGTTCATTCATAGATACACACACGTGCGCACACACACACACACATACATCAATCTCTGAAGTCATCTGGCTTTCCATTCATATATACACGTGCATGCACACACACACACATACATCAATCTCTGAAGTCACCTGGCTCTCCAATTCTTTCATGTATACATGCGCGCGCGCGCACACACACACACACACACACACACACACATCCTCTACTTTTCTTTCCATTATAAACACATGAATTAGGCACTTTTTAAAGTGCATTGCCCTCTGGTACCTTGGCAAATTTTGACAATATACAAAGATTTTTTGGCATTCTAAAATAGGAAGTATTCTTTCTGAAATGCTAATTTTCCCAGGGATGAATTTACTCACTAGGAAAAATCAAATTCTACAACAAAACAAATGTTGTGCTCTTAGAATAGTTAGCATAGATACCCAAACAAAAATCTCATTCCCATGGAGTGGATTCTAACTCATAACTACCATATAGGACAGAGGCAAACTGTCCCATAGGGTTTCCAAGGCTGAGATCTTGGAATTCAGCTTACCAGCTGCTCCTCGGAAACTCTATACAGGGTCTCTATGGGTTGGAGTTGACTCGTCGGCACTTCACAATAACAACAACAAATCTTTATAGAAGCAGACAGCCACCCTTTCTCCCATGGAGCGACCGTTGGGTTTGAATTCCTTGGTTAGCATAATGCCTTAAACACGGCACCACCAAGACCTCTTGCATGTAGACACCAGTTGAAGGTTTGTTTGTTTATTATAGTTCTGTAACCTAAATGGAGGGAGTTATGCAATACTTCAAACAAAAACACTGGTAGTGGCAAATCTACCAACATACTTTTAAATAGAAATTTTAAGCATTTTGAAATTAAATGAGAACCAACTCTAATCCGCAAAAATAGTTTAGCACAGAAATGACTACCAACTTCTGATGTGTACATTGACTTCTGAATTATCCTCAACACAACCTCCTAATCATATTTCAAAAGGCTATACCAATTTCAAAATCTGTAATCCAAAATCTGTATTCCACAATGCCCAGGTTGGAGATTAGGGCTCTTTACAAGGACCCTTATCTTTTACATTTGGTAAAGTATTAAAAGTATTGTCCAACAGACAATTCACCTAATAGTCCAAAGCATCTTATAAAGATAACATATGGTTAGCAGGCCACCATCATATATAGTAACAACAAGAATATAAAGTCTACATTTAAAAAGATTGATCCATGCATTGTTTCATTGTATAACTACATATGTTCTAGTCATGTGCACCAATTTATTGTGGCTCAAACATAGAAACGCATATGATATTACACCATATATGTGTACACATCCTAATAGCATAATAAAGTCAATTCTAATCAAGAAGAAAATCAAATGATTTCTGGAACAACAGAATGTCACAGTAAAAGTGATGATCCTTTTCAGTTTCTCTTCATCCATTAGGAAAAAAAAAAAAATAGGACATTTTGTAAACATCTTCATCACTATCTTTTTTTCAACATATTACTGAAAACTATTATTCAAATAGTAAATATCTCATTGACATGGATAAAATATGTCTTAACACAGTAACACTTTCAGACAAAACAGGCATTTATTAAAAGAAATGATCATTATAAATAGTTCCTATCTTGTATTTTAACTACATTTTCATAAATAATGTATTTAAAAGTGCTGAGTGTGGCAGGAACGTCAACAAGTCCAATGTAAACAGAACATAGTGTTTTCTACTCTGCAAACGTTTTTTTGAATCCCATTTCCTCAAACACAGCAACAGTTAAAATATTTGCATAGGGAATAGATAATAGCCCTTTTAATCATATATCCTGAATTCTATATAAGCTAGAAAATCAAGTTCATTTTTAAAAAAACAACAACCAATTCCTTCAGTGTTTTAAGTTTATGGAAAAAGAAACTTACAATGCCAGCCTTCAAGTAAAATAAATTGAAAAAAAAAATCCCAAACTTGTTGTTTTAAAAAATATGCTTAATAAATTAAAAAATGAGAGGTAGTTAAAAAAAATGACAAAGAAAAACCTGTAATTTTAATATCATCCTTAATATAAGGCCAGTGTTCTCAGTAGATATAAATATTTTTTAAAACTTTCATTTTAGGTTACTCAGTGTTATATTCATTCAGGTTATGATTTAAAAAATAGCCTCCGGTGGACCTTAATATTCAAATGTAACATTTGATATAAACATGACAATGGTTAGTATTATTTTTTGTACATTTCTGTTTTGTTAAATGTCAAAAGTACATGCTAATGCCAGGCAAGTATTTTGTCTTCAAGATTCAGTGGTACTTATAAAAGAATCATATGGCATCTAGAAGATTTGAAGCACTATAGTGCCTTATAATTATGGATGAGTTAAGAGTCTGGTTTGAACATTTATAAAATAAATGACTCTTACGATACTGATGTGAAAACAGTTAAGGTCTGAAGTAGAGAATCATCTTCATAACCCATATAAAACGTCTCTTGGTTAAAAACTTAGCTTTTCATTGGCTTTCACTTTCAAGGAAAATATACCCTCAGACAGAATGTTGTTCATTCAAACGATGTATGCTACATGTAGGCGTTCCTTTATTAAACTCTTTATATTCCAAAACTAAATTGTCAGACTTCTTTGTCAATCTCTTCATGAAATACATATCTTTACACAACCATTTTAGAACTGGAGAGCCAGTCTTTAATAATAATAAATTAATTACAGTATTGGACATCTGATATATACATTTTTTTTCGGTTACAATTAAAAACATGATCGATCATTGATTTGTCATTGAGATAGGCTAGCTTCAAATTGTTTTGTGCTTTTTTTCCCCTTCTTGTTTGTTTATTTATTTTACATAGCAAACACTTCTGTAATGAAAATGCCACAGTTTTGGCAGTGAACAAGAGCCCCCCTCCCCCTTCCCCCATTAGGATTTTCCCAACAAACAGTTATAAATCGCTCTTTTTTTTCATGTACAGAAATATTGGCTTCAAAATTAGTGTACTGAACACAGTATATATAGTATGTTGGATACCATTGATACATTTTTTAAAAATTGGCTTTCTCTGTCTTAGATGAAGTTAAAAAATGCAAACCACAGCCAGTTTTTGGCAAGTATTTCTATAAGACCATATTGCACAAAAGTCCTTAAATACAGATATAAGTTATGCCATTTGGGGTAACTATTAATTACAACAACTACACGGAAAGGATGCAGTTACTGCGGACATGCAGTGTCTGGTAGTACACTAGGAGACTCTTCTAGGAGTACAAATACAGTTTGCTTGCAAGTAGAATGGATTGTTGAATAAAACAAACTCAATTTGGCAATTCATTGGTTGGAAGTGGTATTTTTTCCAAACTGAACCATGAATAACCTTGATAAAAATGGAGACAAAGACCAGAATGGTGGTACTGTGTTCACAGTCGCCTGAGGAATGCTAAATTCTCATTCTCTGGGAACTCTGTCCCCCCCCCCGGTTATTTAACTAATTTCACTTCCCATCCCAGACCTCCAAAATCATTTTTTTTGTTGTTTTAAATGAAAATTAAGACTCAGAAGCAGAGCCAGCAGCAGTACTTTCAACTAGAGACTTATAAATTTGAGAGTTCAAAAACCTTGGGAAAGAATCTCGGTGCATTAAGGTATAGATCTGGAGTTGAGCATCTTCATACATGTGAGGATTCGGATCCAACAGATTTCTATTGATCACCTCTCTAACTCGAGAATCCAGACTGACCTAAAAAGGAAGAACAGATACATTACTGGGTTTTCCCTAAAATAGCTTCACTCAAGGAATACAGGCTTGCGAAACTGGAGTTAAATTTCAAAGAGTAAATCCAACTACCTAAAAAAATTTGAGGCCCTATTTTCAGAGGCGATGTAACCTTGCATATTTTTCTCCATAGAAGGTTGAATTAAACTAGACTTTTATGCTAAAATTTTCATCTACGAATAGCTTGGCTTAATTGGATTCATCTTTTCTATCCACTCACTCAGGACTTTAATATTGTAAAATCTGGAATAATATGAATTTACCTCCTCCTATTTATGTGTTCTCTGGGAATGACTCTCTCCAGTGAAATAATGTAAAAATCTGGCATCAGAGAAAATTCTCTAGAAAAACGAGTCATATAGCAAATGCTAAATCCCTGTACTTTCACATCCCAAAAAGTCCTACTGCGTTAAACACAGGAAACAGACTGCAAAATGTAAACTTGGTAGATGTGGTCTGCATGTCTTAAACTCTACCTGGGAAGGAATAGGAAACATCCTTATATAGGAAAATGCCCAAGGCTATCTGTATTCAAAGGAGCTCTGGTAGCTAGCATAGTGGTTACGAACTGGGCTGCTAACCTCAGGGTCAGCAGTTCAAAACTACCAGCTGTTCAGCATGAGAAAGAGGAGGCTTTCTGCTCCCATAAAGATGTGCAGCCTCAGAAACCCTGTACAGGGTCGCTATGAGTTAGAACTGACTCCAGGGTACATCTGTAGTATTACAACAACATCTGTAGTATTCAAATAGTCAAATAACAAGTATGTGACTTGGACTCACTGAAAGGGGCAATGTAGGGATTCAGAATATCCAGTACATCAATCCAGCGTTATTCGAAAAGTGTAGGAAAAAAGCCAATTTGTGATAATTCCATTATCTTCTTTTCCCCTAAATGCCAATTTTGTTAGGAACTACTAGGATATTCTGGAAAGGAGCGCAGAGGGAAAATAGATACAGTAATGAGGTTATGGGGGTACCCCCAATCAATGACATTAGAAAAAAATCCTATAAGCTAAACAATCACTCAGAATCCTAATAGGTTTCCTAAATCTTTACTATTAAGCAAGGAAGTCTCTCATACTTCAGACATATTGTCAGGAGGGACCAGTCACTGGAGAAGGATATCATGTTTGGTAAGGTGGAAGGTCAGAGAAAAAGAGGAAGACATCCAACGAGATGGAGTGGCCAAGTGGCAGCATCAATGGGTTCAAGTGTGTCAACAATTGTGAGGTTGGCCCAGGATCAGGCAGTGTTTCGTTCTGCTGTGCGTAAGGTTGTTATAGGTCGGTACCGACTCGATGGCTCCTATGAAGGGCACTGGACTGTTCACTGCAGTTCAAACCCACCAGCTGTTCCTCAGAAACCCTATACTAGGTCGCTAAGAGTTGGAACCAAATCGATGGCATTTAACAACATCAAAGGGCATTGGTGTGGTACTGTAGTTATTGCACTGAACTGCTAACCACAAGGTTAATGATTCAAACTCACCAGCTGCTCCTCCAAAACTCTATACAGGGTTGCTGTGAGTCAGAACTAACTTGATGACACTTAGCAACAGCTACAATAGTAATTGTCTTTCCGTATACCCAAATCGACTCAAACTTCCCATATTTATATTGAAACATTTTGCAGAAGACTTCTTGGTTCTGGCTTCTTTTCCTACCCACTGGATTAGTCTGGGGTTTGAAGGAATCCCAAGTGACTGAAGTCGCCCCGATTCCATCTGATGCTCACAAAGTCCTGAGTTCTACAGACCATGTACAATCCTGGTGTGACGCTGTAGACTAATGCACCAAACTGCAAAGCTGTTTGAACCGCAAGTTTGGTGGGTCAAGCCCACCAGCTGCTCCTTAGAAACCCTATACAGGGTAGCTATGGGTTGGAATTGACTCAGTGGTACTTAACAACAACAACAACAGACCATGTGGGTTTGTACTATGTGACTGATACACCGCGCAGTTGACTGTTATGGGAGGATTTGTCAGGGTGATGATCCAGACTAAATTTCAGTGCTTTGGCTAGATCCACAAAAAAATTCATCTTTCTTGGCTGAACTCATATATTCTTCTTTGTTAGAAAGTCTTTTTTTTTTTTTAAAGGATTTTTCTAGAAATGGCTCACTTAGGTTCTATTTTCTGTGTTATTGCCACATGAAGTCTTCAGTAAGTACACAAATAAAAACATAAACTAAATGAGAGTTTCCCCCCCACAACACACACACAGCTTTCTATTTTTTCTAAAAATACCTTTGTGTTTCTACTCAACAGGAAAATAATGACATTGGAATTGAAACTGATCCATTTTATTCTGTGATGATTGTTGTTGTTGTTGTTAAATGCCATCGAGTCAGTTCCGACTCATAGGGACCCTGCATAGGGCTTCTGAGGAGCAGCTGGTGGGTTTGAACTGCCGACCTGTGGTTCGCAGTCCACTGCTGACCCTACTCTAGAGGTCTTCTTCTAACTGGTACTCGCACTTTTCAAATTGACAGCATTTTTTTTTTTTTTTTGATTCAATGGAGAAGGTCATGTCAGATTTGTGATCAAGAAAAAGAGTCATTAAAAAAATGACAGTATAATGAAATATGGCATAAAGGGTGCCCATCCTAAGACAGACGAGTAAAAAAACTCAGATGATGAAATGTCTGGAGTCCTCATTGCCTACTTAATATTTAAAAAATTTTAAAGTGAAAAAAAATGAAATAAAGTATAAAGGTCCTGGTGGCTCTGTGGAATAAGCACTGGCTTGAGTCACAGGTCAGCAGTTTAAACCCACCAATTGCTCCTATAGATGAGGAGAAACATGGGGCTTTCTGCTCCCATAAAGATTTACAACCTCAGAAACCCTAGACAGGGTCGCTATGAGTCAGAATCTCCACAGCATGGAGCTCGGTTTTGGGTTTTTGAAACAAGGTAGAGAAAGTCGCGATGTTCAATGTTTTGTAATCTGTAACAAACATGCATATGGTATTTCCATGTAGAAAATAAAATATTTACCTTAAGACCTGATTATCTGAAAGTTGTCCATTTAAAGAAGTGTAGGAGGGATAAACCCCATGTGCAGAACAATCTAGAATTTCACCTTGCGTCATCTTTATACTTCAGAATGTGGACCGTCTATAAATATAAATTTGTCATGGGTTGAATTATGCCCCACTGCAAAATGTCATTGTGGTTAAGTGCTGTTCAGTTAGTTCCGACTTACAGTGACCCTGTATAGGGTTTCCAAGGAGCAGCTGGTGGGTCTACACCACCCACCAACTTTGGGTTAGAAGTTCAGTGTTTATCCTATAGTGCTATACCAGAGATGGCAGGAGTCTTCATATCAAGAACAGAGAGGGAAGGAGTCTTCACACCAGTATCAATGCTATGCCCTCTGTACACAGGCCAGATAGGGATGGGCAACTTAGACACTGGCTACCTAAAATGAGGGGGCTATAAAGGCACGAAGTGACTGGCTTACAAAGTTTCAAGGGGGAGTTTAGTTTAAGAGTGTGTGTGGGGGGGAGAAAGAGTCCCCACTGAATAATTTTCATCTTGTCTAGATGGGGCTGGTTAAAGAGATGGGGATAAGATTCTTATGATTCAATAGTGGTCCTGTGTCTCTGGATGAACTGAGTGGAAACCCACTTGCTTTTCAGATGCTTAATTAAGCTCAGCTTGCTATTACTACAACTTTCGAGCAGTATTTCCCAAAGCGGTGTTCCTCGGATCACCTGTTGGAGACTACCCAGAATACTTGTGTAAATAGCAAGTTCTTGGGACCTTCCCAGTACTTGTTAATTGTTGGGAACAAATTCCAGGCATGTGCATTTTTAACATACTTTCATATCCAAACCAGCTGGAAAACCTCTGTGGCAGACACACCCGCCCATGGCCCTACCTCCACGTTCCCCTGCCCTGTCCATGTGCTGCTGCTTCACAGAACTAAAGAATGGACCCTTATGACCCATTGCTATTCCTGAGGGAAGGGTTGGGGATGGTACATTTTGGGAACAATGATGTGGAAAGAATCCTAAAGTCCACCAACCATGATTGTTCGGTCTCTGTTGCATATGATTTCAGTAATCGCCAGAACTGTTTGTGGCATCAGATTTTCACCCTAAATTTCCTTCCAGTGGCCTTCAGGGGAAGAAGAGTAATCAATATTTAAGCACACCTGAATGCCCTAAAAAGAATGCTGGTGTGACGAGATGTGGATGCTGGGGCCTGCTGACACACAGGTGTTTTCCAGCAAAATTACGTGGACTTAGCCACTGATTTCAGTCAGTGTTGCTAACTGTAACTCTTTTGACTGTATGCTCCTGGATTCATTTCTTCATGGATACATACATGCATGTGTGGGGTCATTCCGAAAACATTCATTGAGTGTTTCCTACAGGCCAGGCATTGGGCTACATTCTGGGGGTCTGATAGTGAACAAGACAAACCCTGGCCTATTTCTTATGGAGCTGAAATTTTACACAGACAAGTCGTGTTGAAAAGTAAAACTACACACCATGAGGGGTATCCTGATGGGGGCGCCAGAGGCAGAATGACGTCCTTTAGAACAGGAGTAGTCGGTAAGGCCTCTCTGAGAAGGTGAAAATCAAGTTGAATACACAAGTCAGACTCTGAGTGTTTGTCCTTTAATTATGATCAAAGTTTAACTGGGCTTAAACTTTATTGTTTATAAAGCAGTCCTAACATATCATAATGAGTCTCACAATTCTTTAGCCATATGAATGGTGGTGGTAATGTGCCGTGGAGTTGGTTCTGACTCCTAGTGACCCTGTATAGGGTTTCTGAGGCTGTAAATCTTTAGAGGAACAAGAAGCCTCATCTTTCTCCCGCAAAATGGCTGATAGTTCAAACTGCTGACATTTGAGGTTAGCAACCTGACTTGTAACCACTGCGCTACCAGAGCTCCTTAGCCACAAGGCTAGTAGGCACCATTCTACAAGGAGATAACATAACTTGACCAAG